CGGAGAGCTTGGCACAGCCACCCTGAAGAGCGGGAGATGGTTCTGCAGTTTCATGCATTCATTTCCTACAGCGAGCGCGATTCATTGTGGGTGAAGAACGAGCTGATCCCAAACCTGGAGAAGGGGGAGGGCTGTGTACGACTGTGCCAGCATGAGAGAAACTTTATCCCTGGCAAGAGCATTGTGGAGAACATAATTAACTGCATTGAGAAGAGCTACAAGTCGATCTTTGTGTTGTCTCCCAACTTTGTGCAGAGCGAGTGGTGTCACTATGAGCTGTACTTTGCCCATCACAAGTTATTCAGTGAGAATTCCAACAGCTTAATCCTCATTTTACTGGAGCCGATCCCTCAGTACGTTATCCCTGCCAGATATCACAAGCTGAAGGCTCTCATGGCAAAGCGAACCTTCCTGGAGTGGCCGAAGGAGAGGAGCAAGCATCCCCTGTTCTGGGCTAACCTGCGGGCAGCTATTAGCATTAACTTGCCAACGTCCTTTGAAGCAAATGAGGAGCAGAGTGATGTTACTTCTACTAGTCGTGTAAGTGAGTATGTGAATATCTGATTTGACTGTCTTGCATTAAATTGTTAATAATTTTTTATAGTTTGTAGCAAAATGTAACTGTGATACATCCAGAAATAGCTACTGCTTAATCTAGTTGTGAAAGCAGTCAGAATTCTTCTGCAGTGTCCCACCATCAACAAAGAGAAGGATGGAGAAATTTTCATAGTGATTAAACTTATTTCTGCAGACTTGGGTTGCATTCATTTTGGACTTTTTGCATTGAAAGCCATATTTGAAAGTAACAAAAATAGAGGTTTGTTCAACGTCATCAGGATTGTCAAGGCATTCATTTAATCTCTGTTCTGACGTGAATGTTGTGGGGTTACGGTGGTAGGGATCTGAGTCCTTTGGTCTTATTAAATGATACAAAGAAGAAGGAAACTCTTGTTTAAAATCTTTCCTGTACATTGGTATGGTATATGTCAAGGGTACAGTATCCCTACACCTTCAGCTTGTTTTCCCTTCCTTCATCACAGATGCTTTCCTGGGTAAGTGCTGAAAGTTGGAGCCAGTAATCACTGTTTAATATTCTTCTTCCTTTGACGTACTAAACATTTCCACTTGCTTAGATTTACCTACCAACTCATGATTTCATAGAATTCACTATTCATTGCCTTCAAAATAATAGTTAATATCTGAACTTAGGAATTTTTTATAGTGTTATGATACTGCTGCTTTCTGCTATGATCATATCAAGCTATGTTGGGTTGCTTGTTTATCCTGTTTTCTAAAATGTAGAAGCTTTATGTTTGGAGGTGAATCCCTTCTTTTCTCCAGATGTTCAGAGAACTCTGTTACCTTGCCCTTAATCAGCAGGTGCTGAGGGTCATCATGCAGGTGAAAAAGGAGTAATTTTTGTTGGGAAATAACTTCTCAGCTAAAATTGAACTTGTTAAACTAACGGTATTTGTTGATAGGATACATCTAATTATTTGCTGTGCTTGGATTTAATTTGACAATCTAATAAACCTCTCATTTTCCATCTGTTATTAAATTTCCTGGTGTCGTTTCACTGGTGATGAGAAATTGTGTGATTATACTTATGGCTTAGTGGAAGTGGAAACCCCTTTGATCATAGTCATGAGTGGCACGTGGGGTGAGCAAGCCAGTGAGAGGATGTGATCCTTAACACTTGCCGAGGCAGCTGACCAAGCACCTGCAGGTATGGGAAGCTATGGGAGATCTTCTTAGTGTCCTGAGATGCTGAGATGCTGCTGTGACGGCTCAGGTTAACTGAGTTATCTTGCTGGGTGTGTGTCTCTCAGTGGAGAGCTTTGGAAAGAAGGGCTAAAATTCTCTATTATGTCTTGATTTCAGATGAAGGGAAGTTGGCTGCTGACTTTTTTGATAACACATAACTGAGATTTTCACCTTCCCAAAGCCAGGACCAAGCTTTTTTTGTATACCTTAAAAAGGGGTGCTAAACCCTCAGTACTTCAGTGAGAGCTGGTGGATGCGGCATGCTTGAAAAGCAGGTTATTTATGATGAGGAGAGATGTTCAAAGACACAGAGGAGCTTAGTGCTCTTCAGAAGTTCAAGCTAGGAAGGCTTTACCCTACCCTGAGGGTCACTTGTGCTTCATGGCAACCCAACACGGCGGCCATGGGCATTGGGCACCATGGGATGCTGCCAAAAGTGCATCGCAAACCTCATGTACTGGCCAGCCAGTTACAGCAGGCTGCGAGGCACTTTCCACATACGTAGTGATGTTGAGCCTGGGACTGCAGCCTGAACACACCGCTGGAGCTGTGGCATTTGCTTCTGAAGAGGTTTTCCCCAACCATACAGCACCCCTCTGGGTGCAGGCTCTTTACTTCTCTGTCTGCTCTTAGGCAGTTGCCTGGCTAAGCTTTAGTGCCTTCTTTATTTCAGCTACAGCCAAAGTTAGATCTGTCTATAATTTCAGGCTCATGTTCTATGCAGCTCTCAGGTTACTTAAGGAACTGTTCAGTCTCATGAAGCTTCTTAGGAGTTTTGGAGCCTTTACCTCTCCAGGAGCGGCTCCTCTGTGCTTTGCAGCGGAGACTGCTACCAGAAAACCTGTGACCCTCCTTTCTGAAAGACTTCTCCCCCTCCCAGGTGTTACAGTCTAAGGACATGATTAGCATTCACACTTAGTGGTAATGTTTTAATGGGCATGTATTCTGCCCTGTTTACTGGATGAAAAGAGGAAGTAAAATTTATCAAGTCGGGCTTTCCGGTGTTAAATGTAATGCATCAGCAAACTGGGTTTTATGTCCTAAATAATGTACAGGGTCCGGGCCATGGAAGAGTCCCTCACCTTTAAGACTGTTCTGAAACCTAAGTTATAGGTAGGTGTGAAAGGAATAGTTTCTCAAGTCTGTCATGTATATTATTTTAGGATATTAACCCTGTTATAAGCCCTGTATACTCTCTCATTCCTGCCTCACAAATCTTTCATGCACATGCCAAATATATCACTTATTTAGACACTATACCATATACGGCAGCTGCTTAAAATACACTTCCAAGTTCGTTTGATAAAGTAGATTAACTTTGTGGCTTTTTTGTTTTGTTGTTAGTTTTTTTGTTTGTTTTGTTTTGCTTTTTTTTTAAGTTAGCATTTGACAATGTTTCTCATCACTTCTCTGTTGGAACTTCCATTTTCTTCTGAAAAAGAAGAAACTCTTTTTCTCTTCAGAGTACATAAAACTTTGATCATTTTGTGTTTCAGCCAAATGTAGCAAATGCTTTTCTTCACTGTTTTTTTATGAAGCAATACGCTGTTGAAGATTAAAAAAAAAAGAGTGTTTGTAGAGCTGCTTCTTGGGAAATTTGCAAGACTTACAGGACATGGTTGAACTCTTGAAATACTGTCATAGTAACATTTATATTTATAAAAATGATGTCAAGTGCTGCTCTCACTGAGCTCAAAGGGCCTGGAAGCACACCTGAAAGCAATGAGGTGTATGGACTTTGTTAGTGATCAACCAGGGCAGAGTTTTAATTGTTGAGGAGATGTTAAAAGTGTTTTTGTGGCTAAAAATCAGAGTGAAGACACAAAGATCATGTTTGAATCCTTGAGCCGGTTCTGTGCATGACAGGACCTGGCTCAGTGATAGATGGTAAGACAGGGAACAACTTCATTTCTTAACTGGGAGAAGATAAATGGTTTCTTAAATTACGATCTCGTGAGTTTTAATTTTGCCTTTTTCTCAGACTAAGGGTGACACCCAGTGGCCGATTCAACTATCGCCATTTCCTGAACATGATCGCTCATGCTAGAACGCATAACACGGCGTTTTGCCTCTTAGGAGAACTGAAATAGCCCATGGAGAGGCGATCGCATCAGCCCAGCAGCTGCAGGAGCCTCTCGCAGGTGTGCGCGGGCTGGAGAAGCCAGGCCAGGGTCAGCCCCGCCTGGTGGCAGCTGGGTCAGTGGCTGTCACTCGGTCCCCAGGCCACCTGTCCCTCCTTGAGTGGGCCATGGAGCGCAGATACCGTCTGGTTCTCCAAAAAAATGAACCCGGTAATTCAACAGCGTGATGTGAGCCCTGACTCCTGCTGTACTGCATAGGAGGACATGACAGCAAACGATGTTCTGGGGGTTTTATTAACAAGGATAATACATATGCATTGTAGACTAAATACAGGATCAGAACTGTACAGTACAAATTTATCTTCACAGTTTGACATGACAAAATGTCATTACTGAATTCCCATTGGACTACCAAAGTAGAAACAGTGAAAGTACATTAAACATTCACATCTTTAGTAAGAAAAGATTACCAAAATGTCTCCATATTTGCAAGTTATAGGAATGCACGCTAGAAATCTTTAATTACCCATTCAGTCTTATTAGCTTATAAAATATATTACATTTTATTTAAAAAATTCTGCATAGTTTATACAAGTAGTAAATATAACAACCCTGCTATATTTACAGGTGAGAGGTGCTAAGCAGAAAGATTATTTTGACCCTCTAATATTTAAAGTACATTTTAAAAAGTGCTAATATCTGTAAAATATAATTAAAGCTGGTGTAGCCTGCTTAAGATATGCAAAATGCTTTGTAATTTTTTATAGAAAGGATTTGTATTCACCTACATGTTGCTAACCTTGACAGAGACAACAACATATTTGGACAAGATGTGGCATTAGAAATAACACTGCAGAATGGCGGGTTATATTTAAATAAAACCACATTAACACATGCTCAGCGTTTTGTGATTGTCTTACAAAATAGTCATTTATTACAATCAAATAGCTTAAACAGGCACATGTTAGTAAAACAGCATTACCTGTTAAGACACTGTGCAGTGCAGTACTGCCAGAGAAAAAGATGGGTTTTCTAAATATACATGTTCTGCAGGATTAGGGTTTTATATCCTTGTGTTAAAACTGGCTTCTCTTTAGGGCAAAGATGGAAGGACTGGCTTCAAAGAGTATTTATTTGTGTATATTTAAAATTACAGGATACCCCTCAAATCATTGCTAAAATGAATCAATGAGCCAGTTAGGATGTAAATTCACATTTTCAGCTGAAAGACGTAGGTATATTTGTTTGTGACTTTTCTGACATCCCACAAAAAGACACCAAAGTGAAAAATCCTATAAGCAAGGCATTTACATTAAATAATCTCAAATATTTATAGTTAATACTTAAATTTCTGTTATCCTAAATCAGAAGGCACATGGATAAAGATATTTTCAAGTTCTATTGATTCTCTGCTGTATTTGTCCTCACCATTAGCATAAATATTTTCAGGAAAAAGGTACATAGGCTAATGAATGAAAATGTCAAATAACCTAGACTAATTTCTCCAAAGTAACTCTTACGTGCAAAGAAGTTCTGCTTTTAGGGTACTTGATTTTAAATTGAAAGAAAAGAAAGAAAAGAAAGAAAAGGAAAGGAAAAGAAAGAAGAAAACATTTTATGAAAGCCTTAGAAAAACAGAGCACTGGAAAGAAATGTTCATTAAACATTCCAAATTTTATGAATTTGCATTTGTTAAGCTAAAAAGGGGACCAGTTCCCATGAAGCTGTTTAGTTTTATAGGATCTCATCTGCTTTTATCCCTAGGATATAATGGAGAATTATTTTCATCCTGGGATCCAAAATGTCTGCAGACTTGTGACTACAGGGGTCTCCACACAGCTGCGTGGGCAGTGATGTGTCTGCAGTTATGGAACTGTCACGAAAACCTCAAGCCCAACGAGTGAGGCTAATTCTGCTACCACTGACAATAAAAATATCCAACAAAAATCCCTGTTCTAGACCGGGTGCCCATTAATACCATTCTCTTCCTTCAGGTTCCTCAACGTTAGTAACAATCTGGGCTACCAAAAAGAGACTGATTCATCTCCCAGGTTTTCTAGCTCCATAGACAAGCAAATGAGGGCCAGTTACAAGCAGACAGATCTGGCGCAACTTTCTTCAGTGCTAGAGAGCGGGGAGGATGCATGGTGCTGTAGCAGAGCACATGGACCTTCCTTGCAAAAGCTTTGCAGCGATGTTCCTAGCCCTGCTTTGCAAGTCTCTCTTCTCCCCTGTGTAAAGCACACGGTCAGGGCTCTACTGCTTAAATAAAATTGCTGGTTCCATATTCCCATGTGTAAGTTTTGTTGAACAACTGGACAATACTTTGTATTTCATAGCAATCACCGTGGAGGTGTTTTTCTCCAGGAGGTACAGATCCCCTTTAATTCTGTGGCTAATTCTGTCAACAGAAGAGCTGGCAAACTCTTGTCACCACAGGGAGGCTCTTTGCACCCAAACTCTTGCATCTGCACGATGACTTCAGTTGGCTGTTGGACTCCACAGGATGTAGCAGCACAGCCTACCTGCTCCATAAGCTCAAATATACCCACCTGCAGACAGACACTACACCTGCCTTCTCCTGAAGAGATTAGTGAAAACTCCTCCTCCCCTCAGCCCTCCATATTCTGGTGGTTTTCTTCTAAGTGAAAAAGAAACCTGACTTCAGTATGTTGAATTTGGAGTGAATGGTGTTTACCCTACCTAGGGGAAAAGAAGAAAAATGCACTGGTGCAAGAGAGCCTAGAGTAATACATCCAGTTTCCTTGCAAGTGCCACAGTCTGTCAGGTAAGAAAGACAGAAACCTTCCTTTCTGTAGGCTTCCTAAGGCAGGAACATTTCTGGAGTCAACTGCAGACTGCTTGAATTCAGTTTATTTTACCTACTAAATTGTGTTTAGTAACTGACACGGGAGTTAAGACTTGCTGATGTGATACCTTTATGCAAGACACATCCACAGGAAAGCCGCATCTACCTTCTGCTGAGAGACTACCAGTCACAAGTCAAAGTTATCAAATGGATGATTTGGTATATGTTTTTATCTGAAAGTGATACATTACTCAACTTATCACCAGAAGTATTGAGATCTGATGCCATCTTCTCCTAAAAAGACTGTGGGTTTAAATACTGTAGTGTATTAAAGCGGCAATCACTCGCGACAATACAGTTCAGAGCATTTTTGACATAGTGATTGCTATTTTCTGAGGTACAGCAAAGAGAAAAAGCTATTTAGAGGAAATGTAGGGGAGTGACTGTAGAGGGACAGTCGATATCTCTGAAATGAGGTGTGGTAGGCTTCTATGAACACCATTTAATGCCAGGTCATAGGAGTACTGTGTTCCAGCCATACACTTGCACAGAAACCAGACATACAGTGTCACACGACATCTTCATTTAACAAATCCACCAGGGCAGTATGCAATAAAAACGGATATATACTACACTATAATACAGAGGATGGATGACACTGGTTTAGATGCACACTATTATGCATGGACCAATTCCTGCCAATTTTAATTCTTGACTGGGATAAATGATACTATGAGTCAAACTTTCTGTAAAGTCATTGTATTGCTTAGATTTATTTCCACAGTGTTATTTGGGCAGAGGGGATTTCTAAATCAGGTGTCTTTCTAAAACTGTGGTATTAACCATATTGCAGAAATCAACATGATTGGGAGAGTCCATTCATTGCACTGTTGAGCATAAAATTAGTGTAACCCTTACAGGGCACATAAATAAAAGTCTCTGGCAAGGACTAGCATTTTGGATATTCAATAACATTTACTACTTTATCGGTATATGCTGGGTTGATTATATGAAGAAACCAACAAAAGTTGTTAGTTTACAAATTCCCTTATTCACAATGGAATACATTAAACATATTGTCTACAGAAAGGGTTTGCTTAGCACCCCCAGGAGGAAAAAAAAAAGTGTTCACATTCTTTAGGTCTGACCCGTGGCAAGGACGTAGAAGGGTTAGATAACATCTGTTACTGACCATATGTAAGCTTTTAATGGTATAAACTCAGAGATTCAGACCAGCTGAATCCAAATTAAAATGCATGTGTAAAAAAACACCCAAAACTGTGACAGAAGTCAGGAACAGAAGACATTCAGACGAGCATGTGGCGCTTTCTGTGAAGAGCAAGATGGTCCGATCGTGAAAAGCTACGGTCACAGTCTGGGCACTGAAAAGGTTTGATTCCTGTGTGCTTGCGGAAATGCCGCGTTAGTTCATCAGAACGAGCAAACTTCCATGTGCACCCCTCCCAAGTGCACTTGTATGGTTTTTCACCTGGAAAAAGAAACACAGAAGTGGAGATTTAAGACACAAACCTATCAGTTAAATATCTGACAGATTTATCCTCTTGCCTTGTCAAATTTCAGCAAGTACTTTAATGCTTACTCAAAAAAGCCTCTGAACAGCACTGGGCTGTGCTAGACACTGTGTAGTCACAGTTAACAGCTCAAAAAATTGTTTCCTGCCACAACTTTTTTATTGTCTCTCTGTTCCTCCCTCTGCCATATTAGCACTTGTTTTGTCTCATCAAGCACAGAAGTGTGAAGGTTGAAGCATCTGTTCGAGTATTTTCAAAACCAGGACCTTGTATTCCAGATCAGTCGGGGGAAAGGACTGGAGCTACCATTCAGCACAGCAGACAAATGTCTTGCTGTGACCTCCTAATGTTACTGTAGTATAAATAAACTGGCACTGTCACAGGTAGCTCAACTTAGAACCTTTCTCAATCATCACTTTCTAATATGTGATCCTCCTCCTCCTCAACACCATTGTGCTGCCCAACAGGTAAAGGGCTGGCTTGATACAAGACCTAAAAGTGTCTGGTATCTTTGTAAAAAACTTGGATGTACATACTTGGCACATCATGATGAACATTTCTGTGGAGAGCAGAGATGGGGCTATGTTTACAGGAACTCAGAAAAGAGAGCTATTGGCACAGCGGTCAGTGTGTCCATACGAAGCAGATGTGTATTAGACACATGGTCCAGACTTTTGCAAATGGGCTACTCCCATGGAAGTCTTGGTCAACTTTAACAGTGATGTAAGAGGTGATGTAGCGCAATTTCAACTGATTTGGTGTTTACAGGGTGTGTAGAATGAGTAATCTGCAAGCGACTTGGACAGAAAATGAGCGAAAAGGCCAGCGAATGTAAAGGATACCAGCACACACCGGGATCCTACTTGGGCTTACAGTCTCTTGTGTGGATTTTTCCTGCTACGACCTCTGTCTTTTGCTCAGCCTGTAACTGTATTCACAACAGTGCCACATCTAACTTCGGCCATTTTGTTATTTATACCTGTGCCCACCTGGCTATTAGCACAAACCAAAAGCTTAGTCTCCTATTTTACCACAGACTTGATAAAAGCAAAGCACAGCAAATGCCCAAACCTGTATGGGTTCTTCTGTGAGCTTTCAGATGGGAGCTTTTAGTGTAGACTTTGTTGCAGCCTTCGTAATCACACCGATGTATTCTGCGTTTTCTCTGTGTGTCTGGAGATTCCACAGGTAAAGGCCTCTTTCCTGGCTGAACTATAACTGAAGGGTGATTCCTGCAAAGTCAAATTGAATGTTAAAAACGGAAAACATTCAGCACAGCAAACCTCAGCTAATGTGATTCATGACTGAGCCCTTTATTCATTGCCACTCTGTCTCTTGGCAGAAAGAACAACATTACATGCATGTTGAAAAATTCGAGAGGGTTTAGCAAATTTCATGTATTCTAGTAGTAATATTTTTAAATGTTTACTCACTTTGTGGCATGACATAGCCATTTGTACTACTCCCTAGTTTTTTTTAAATTTACAGAGGATAAACCCCCTTCACATGCCTGTTTTTCAGTCAAACCCAGGTTTCTCAAACTCTGAGTTCATAGTGAACTTTTCTTGTATTTACTCACAATTTCTCTTCTTCCTTCAAATGTAACTAATTTGCTTGTAATTGGAAACAGCTATTCCATCTTATTAAAGAAACTGTACCTTTAGGGTTTCAAAGCAGAACTCAATCTTTTTTGTTCCAGCCACTCCTTTAGAGAGTAATTAAGAATTTCCTGTTTGGTGCTGGCAGGAGGGTGCGGCCTCCCTGTACCACTGACGTCAATTCCTAAAAGTAGAGTTCAGACCGTGTGGCACACCCACAGGATGTCTCAAGTTGTCCCTCCGCCTTCATAAACATAATTTTTTGCTTTTGAAGCCCACAGGTGCAGTGCAGGTAAGACATGCACTAACTACCCATAGACTTCTGTACAAGCAAAAACACAAACATACATGCATGTGAAAACACATCGAGATTCTGACAAGGTGTCACTGACTGTGGATATTTAGGTATGAACAACACCCCTGCTGCAGAGCTGGGGACAACCTTGATTCCTTCCTCCATGTCAGTATTAGAAAAGGAAAGTAAGCACATATGTCAAAATGGCAAGTGGCATTGCAAATTCTGCAACCTCACAAAGTTGCATTTTTCAACCCATTAGCAGATCTGTAGCAGTGCTTTTAATATATTTTTTTAGCTTTTAACTGAAACTTAGTATATAATGTGCAGGTATTAGCATTCCTTGTCCCAAAACCTGCTGCTCCATGTGACCAAAATAAACCTGCTAGAACTCCGGTCTCTCCTCAGTTACTGTGCTTCACATTTCTTTACTGCTTGAATTGCACTTTATAACACTAGGATGTTATTAGTTATCCAAACCAAGTTCCTTTAGGGGACAAACAATGAATATCTATTTCTCTCACCAAAATAAAGAGCATATGCTAAAGACAGAAAATCTTGTGCACGGTTTGACAAAAAAAAATTTCTATTACTCTCCATGTCAGCAGGATGGGAATTACTGATGCGGGAAAAATGTAATTCTGTTATTAATTCTTTTTTTAGAGTTACAAGCTTGAAACTGGGAGCCAAATTTTCCTTCGTGGGTATTTTGTGACTGTTGAGTGATGTACTCTTCAAGTACACATTAAATGTAACTAAAAATACTATGATGGCAGGCAACCCCAGCTGGTGATGTTAGACACAGATGTACACACTCTAAAATAAGAAAGGCAGGCTTTCAGCTTCCAAAGAAATGCTACTCTAAAATAATGCTCAGTTTTAATGCTGCTGCATACTGGTCTTTTCGGAGAAGCTCTGGCATATAGGACAGCAAGCAAACTTGGCTTAAATCCCTATGTGTGGAGGCTAGTCCTGGACATGGTAACATCTGGAAAAAGGGAGAAAAAGCATATTGGCTGTCTACTGTTCATGATGGATTTCAACCTAAGACCACGCAAAAAAAGTGCTGAGCATTTGTCTCATTTTCCCTATAGAGGAAAGGAGGCTGCCAAGACTACAGAATGATATCAATAATCAGATAGGGTGTGGCAGCTCTAAAAATGGTGAAGGCGGTGTCAAAAATCAGAGGTAAATATTAGGTGAGTGGCAATAATAAAAGCACAGCCTTTATTATTTCATTCCCTCTAACACAACCAGATACACATTCACCTAAGTCTAATCATTTAAGTGCCATTCTTTAATAGATAAAGAGTATCTTCCAAAAATCAGGTTACGATTTCAACAGCTTTCTCTTCCTTTACCACCCGACCACACTGTTGACAGCATAAGTTGGACTTTGGCACTTGCACTCGCAAGAAAATACAACATTAATGAAGCTTCTTATATTTGGTCAGAGGTTACTACCTCAAGTCAGATTTTAGAAATAACTGCAGAGTTTTTTCTATTATGAGACATACTAGAAAGTCCAGCAATCCCTACGGAAATGCCACCAGCATTATATTTTATATTTTGGCATATGCCAAAAACTAACACGAAAGTAAAATCACCCATGTAAAAGTGAGACTCTGAAGGTTTCCTATACCCCTTTATGTGTCTGAACACTGCATTTTGGGCAGCTGGAATCTATGAAAAATGATAAATCATTGCCTAAGTATAACTCATAGTGCAGAGAGGCTGATAAAGCTGTGAAACAACAGGAAAATTTATAAAGGTCTCTCATCTTGTAACGTGTGTGATTTGTCTATGTATTTTTTAATGATAAAAAGATAAAAACTATCATTTACAAACTTCTTGTTGCAGATACAGCAGAATGTGAACTTGAAAGGGCTACCGTTAGGAATGAGCAAGAACTGCAGCCCTACAGCCAGCTAAGAAGTAATTTAAGCCATTACAACGTGAGGACAGGGTATCCATAAACATAATGCTCTGCGTAGGCAAGCAGAGATGCTTTGGAAACACGGCCATTATACCAAACTTTATATTCTTTGCTCAGCAGATGGGTTTCCTGTGGAAACTGGACTCATTGAGAAGTGATTAATGCAAACCACTAATGCAGGTGAGAAGCCTGCCTAAGTCTCAGCTCTGAAGGAAGGGTGTGGTATCAGCCAGGAACAGCATTTACTGGTTTGCTCTTGTCAAAGGGCCCTAACAAAGCTCAAAAGTAAACCGAACCATTTGATAGTTCTGACCTCGCAGAAGTTAGTTCCAAATACATGTGGACCTTGTGCGACAGCTCCATTATGAAAGACAAGTAACACCTAGTTAACACAGATGTTTCCTATTTTATTGTATGTTTATTATAATACAACACAGTTATTTTTAAATAAACAGCATACAGTTTATAAAAGCTAGCTGGCCACTAGTTAATTGCAAAGACCTTGCAGTCTAGAAGTTGCATCTAAGACATGAAAATGAGGAGGGGTGCCCAGAAGAAAGCTATGCAGGAGGCCATCAGCCCTGGAGCCACCGTGTGCCTCCTAACCTGGACACGGTCATTAGCAGGAAGAGGAGGCTGCCTTCTGAGGGAGATGCAGATCACCGGTCCCGTGCTTTCTATCTCTGAATCACCCTGCACTCACACACTGGTTTGAGGAGTCTGGCTTGGAGCCCCTTTATCCGCAGTCCAGGAGGTGAGTACAACCACAATGGTCGGCAGGAAGAAAGGGCAGAAATCAATCCTGAAGTCCTGTACTGTGAGCCCAGCTCAGTTCCCAACTTCCCAAGCTGCTGTCAGAGCCCTGCCCAGAGTGCTGCTGCTGACGGATGAGCGTGGCTTTGGGCCATTCTAGGACTTAGTAAGATGTCAGAATTTTCCCTAGGAAAACGGAAAATGGAAGGGTGCCTGTGGCTCCTCAGGTACTTCTTGAGATTCTTTTAATATTTCCAATTAAAAAGTTTCTGGCCCAGACCTCACTACTTCTTTCTAACCCTTGCTCTGCCTTCTGCAAACAGGACTGTTCTAAACCCAACTAGATCTGTGATCCAGCTCATGCAGTGGCCTCAGTAACAGCTGTACCAGCACAATGAGTTGGTACTGGGGTGGAAACAAGTGGCTGAGAGGAGAGCGAGCTTCAGGAACTACTTGAGCTACCAAAAAAACCACCCACAGAACAATGGCCTCAGGTAAACATGGAATTTCACTGGACATATACAGAACTTCTAGACCTGAGGAGTTGTTTCCACCAAGTAGCTGAATTTTTTTAAAAGACAAGCCCTCCAAGAAACAGAAGTCACAAGAATCTGTTTAAAGAAAGGTATTTTAGGTAACATAAATACAGAGATCAGTATGAGATGTTTTTACAGTATCTTTCCAGTTTGCTGCTGGTTTTACATAAACAGGTAGCACTGGCTTATTGGCAGTCACACTTTCAGTAAATTGTAGGACTGGGACTAGCATTACTTTAGAAATGCATTACATAAATGACAGAACTATGTGGTTGGGTTGTATAAATATGTATCAACTCCTTTATTGCTAAAGAGGAAAAAAAAAAATGAAACCACATTTCACAGTGGCAGTGGAGAGAAGGATGTTTTTCTGTATTTTATCACGTGTTCTATAGCATAACAACACTCCCTCCCACTCCCCAAAATTGGTAACTGCTGCAATGAACGGCTTCTCCTTCTTCTGCTGATTTTGGGACTAGTTAGCTACTTACTCTTGCAACATTACTTGCTGGGGTGACAGTGAGGTCATCATTGGAGGTGATATCTGTTCAGGATAGAAGTCAGTCTTCGATGGTTCACTTCCTGGCTCTACCTTGATTGTTTTCTTCAGTGTAGGCTTCTCATAAGACTCAATGACAGGCACTGTATGGGGGAGGGTAGAAGAGGGAAGGCAACACATAATAAATACAGAGAGTGATGCAAATAAAATAAATACGTAAAAATCTCTAGTTAAAAAAGAGAAATCCCCCAGCTCTCCATTCAGTGCAACAATTTATGCTGAAATACATAATCATTCCATTTTAGTCTATCTCTTGATGAACTATGATTCAAAACAATTCTGTTCATCAGTCCAACATTTTTATCAGTCCAAATCTCAGCAGATAAGCAGCTCTATGCAGGTATAAATCAGAACAGAATACGACCTTGTTAAGCTTGATAAAATATTTACACAGTAAATTCTATGTCTGCATATTTTAGAAGACCAGGAATTACGTTCCATTTCCTAAAATACTAATGTGGTATTTTCCCCAAGATGAGATGGCATAAAAAAGAAATTCTGACACCACCAACCTTGCATGCTACTTGGAGTTTCCATCTCATCTGCAAGTACGGTGGACACCATGATGGGCTGCTGAAGATGGGGCGCATACATGAAAGGAACAGGCTGGACCACAACGGGCTGTATAACTGGAAGTATCCCGGGGCTCCTCAGTCCGTGGCGTGAAAGAGCAGCAGCCATTACAGGCGGGATTGTTATTGGCATGGAAATGGGCTGTACTCCTGGAGGAGATGGTGCGAATTTACTGAGAGGTGAGCTGGGCGAGGACAGAGTCAACCCTGGTGAAGTTCTTCTATGCGCAGTCTGAAATTTCAAGGGGGACGGAGAACTCCCAGCTGAAGGTGGTGAGCTCCGTTTGTTAACTGTAAGGTCTACAGGCTCCATCTGGATCCCATTTGATAGTCCTTCAGGGCTTGAGTAGAATTTATTGTGCAACATGCTCGGTGTAGAATAAATGACGCTGTATTTGTTTGGCTTCATTTGGTCCATGTAATTGGACGGGTATGACTGTCAGGAGGAGTGGAAAAGAAAGAAAGAAAATCAAGTAATAAATCGACACAGACACAACTACTGCTGAAAAAGAAAGGCGGCTAATAAAAATGAGGCAAAATGAAAACGTTTCAAGAAATGACTTTAATGTACTTTCTAAATACAAGTGAATTAAATAAAGCCTAAGATTTCACACAAAGGAAGTTATTTAAGTACTGATTCACTGTTTCAGAAGCAATGTAAAACACATGATGAAAACAAATTCTCAAGGCCTATTCACCCTTCTTTCTCTCCTAAGAAACTCTCTTTCTCCCTTAAGAACTGCTTTTCATACACTAAGCTGCACATTAATTAACTGACATGGTGTAATGCCCAGCATATAAACATATACTGAGGATCACGAAGTCGAGCAAGAAGGGAGTTATATTGGACTTAGAATTGCAAATAATGGGTCCCTATCAACTGCTTAAGTAATTGGAAAACAATCATCACTAAAGCAAGAAATTATGTGTCTGAACCCCATAAGCAATAAAAAAATCCACAGCTGAATTATATAAGCAATGAGTGAGAAACTCAAAGAGGGCAAAACATAAATTCAAAACCTTTCATTTTTTTGAGAAATGAAGTAGCTAACTAGCCAGTCTGATTTTGGAAAACTAGTACAAGAATAAACACTTGGTAAGTTGGAGGAATATTTCTGTTAGTGGTAGCTAGCTTTTCTCATTACAAGGTCACACAGACCCCAAAGCTAATCCTGACCTATGTGACGAACTCCACATTTTAGTGAAAATAATTTTGTAAACCAAGAAGTATTAACATTCCTTGCAGAGTATAGTAGTATTAAACAAATGTCCAGATGAATTTTGCATTTAAAAAGTGTCAAAAACTGAGGTTGCGTTCTGACAGATAACTTCCAGTGGAAAGTGATGTGATGTTCTAACATAGCAGAGACAGACACAGAAAATGCAATCCACACAGACTTTTAGCCTTTAGATGTTGTAAATTATTTGAAATACAATGGTAACTTTGGATTCTAGGTAAGTAAAGCTTCACATTTAAGGCTGAGCAGTTTCACACTAATATTTAAAAACTGCTGAATTACATGGCACCAAAAAGACTTTGAGTGGGATTCAAAAAATGTTCAAAAGAGTAGAAGGTATAGAAGTATAACACTACTGTATTTTTATACATTAATTTCTAAGCCATTTCAAGTATTTTTTTTTCCTGGGGTGAAAACTTCTAGCAATGGATCATCCTTGTTTCTTACCTCTTTCTTCCTTGTGAGGGACAGTTTTGATTTTAAATGTCAATGTTAACTAAAAGTATTTTTGCAAAATGGCACAAATGTATTTTTTTTTCTTTTCAGTTACTGTTTGAAACAGCAAGTTTAGAAAATATTGTATTTTCCTGCTGCATTCACAGCACTGTGATAAAACAACAAAGCTGAGTCACCTATTCCATAAAATACTTGAATAAAGCAGCATACACAATGGTGATTAATCTTCAAATGTTAAATACGACATTAAAACCTCTGAAACTTTATTATCTTTATGACTATTTTTACAAATTCAATCTATAAAAATGTTCATCTTCGATGATAACTGGTTCCTCAGAATTCTATGAAAATGTCATTACTGCAAGCAGTGCTGGCTAAAACAAGTTCTGTTGATTTGCCACCACTGCTGAGTCAAGCACCGAAATTGTTAGCATTCTAAGTGAGGAAGACCACTGAATACTGTTATAGTTTAATATTAAACAGCACTTAATATCTACTAAATCTGATCAAGTTATCTGCATAGGCAAAAATTCAAAATTTAAACACAGAAGAGATACTAAACACTTCTGTTAAAATGGCTGTTATTGGTTTGCAGTACAAAGTTTACTCAGTCTCGACAGACTGTAAATGTTCCACCACCGAGCACCAGTGCACGTACAGTGCTGCAGGACTGTCAGGGACAGTCACAACAAGGTCACTACCTATGAACATTTCTTCCACTGCAAGAATACTAGAAAGGAAAAAGACTATGCGATTCACATCTTAGGCGATGGATGGTTTAGGTCAACGAGTCTATTAAAGAATGAAGCACCTCCAAGCTACAACGTTTCTATAAAAAGTTCCCCTCTTTCAACTCTTCAAGTAACACCAGGTGTGTGTGTTGAAAAAATACTGAACTATTATGTTGTGCAGGGAAATGTAAACTAGAAGAGTTAAGTAATATATATTTAGACAAGCAAGAAATACTGTCCAAGAATTAGGAAGAAAATAATGATGTTTTTACGAAATTATTATTTTAGGGACTTGGTTATTGTACACCACATGCCTTCCATTATTTTGCATAGAAGGTTTTCATTGTTGTAATTAAGCTGGCACAGATTTAACATCAGCTATTTTTTCTGGTAGCTTGGGGAAGCTGAATCATTTTCCTATGTTTTTCTTCCTTCTGCAATTTTAACTGCTGTTTCTATCTGGACTGCAGAAAATGCTGTGACAGAAAAACACGGTGTGTCAGGAAAAAAAGGGTGAAAAAGTTGAGAAGGACGCTAAAACAATGAAAAGGAGAGTATCTGCTGCCAGTCAGACCCGCTGGTGGAAAACAGTTTTGCTCCACTGTCAATTAAGTGTGGTTAAAACCCCACTGGTTTGGAGAAAGTCACACTCAGCTGTCTCGTGGATCTGATGCTCGGCTTTTAGGATAGCAAAGTTTAAGTTTCCGGCTCCCTGGGACACAGCAACTGCCGTCAGGTTGGTATGAACCACTGCTTTCAAATATGGTTAAGTAACTCTCCCTTTCTTTGCCAGGGAAGCAGACAGTGCCCCTTGGGGACATGGGACGGGAGAGTACGGAAGACTTCACAGGCTCTCTCTGTAAATACGGAGCATTAATAATAGTTAAGAAAAAAAAGCCCAATTACCTCTGGTTTTCGAAACACCACCAATTGCAGGAAGCAGAAAGTACTTCGTCACCTGCAAGAGCAGTCTTTTCTCACCTGTCCTACAACTTATGCAAAGTATTCTGTTGGACCAATAGAAGATTAGATATCATTATTCTGTTTGCCTAAAATATTTAAGCTGATACATTTTCCTTGGATTTCTACTGTGGGAATTAACAGTGTATGCAGGAGTTTGGTGTGACTAGATTGAAAAAAACCAACTAAGCCAACAAATTTCCATTTCCTGTAAATTCTGCTTTCCTAAACATCCCTGTGCAGAAAGGTGTGTCACTGCCATAGATCACTATAAAGATGCAAGATTATATTTCAACATATATTCCTTTACAGTCTCCATCAAGCTTTTTTTTAGGTTTGATATCATCACTTTCTCTCTTTGGGCCATACAAAGCAGTTAATTTACCTTTACTTGCTGTTTGACCATAATAAAACCCAGAGCACTGAAACCACAAAGAAACTGGAAAATAAATCAAAGGAACTTCTAATATTTGAGAGTCATATCCACGTGGCTCAAACAATTCAACCAATAAATCCAAAAGGAGAAAGAATCGCCATGCTTTTCCTCTTGACAATCTATCAAGAATAAAGACTGGCCATGTATGTCCCAGGCACAGCTATGGCCACTCAGAAGACTGCTACTCCCACAGGGGGACATTATCAAGCACTAATCTGGTATAATTTGCTAAATTTTGTTATACTGCCACAGTTGAAACATCTTCATTGTGCAGGCAAACAGATTTTGATTTGTAACTAAGACATGAAAAAAGCATTCCCACCACATGAAATTTCTATTCCGGTACACACTTAAGATCTCAACCCCTCATGTAGCACATAGCTATCTTTTAAAATGTGTGAAACAAGTAGTTTTGGGACTGATGGAAGGGAGAGAAAAGCTGTTTATTTCCATTCAAAGAAAGGTGGTAACATAAAAAAGCAACTTCTTTCACTAAATTGTCACTGGTATTTGTTCAAACATTTAAAAAGTTCTCACAGCAAATATTTAGGTAGGATTCAGATGACTTTGTCACTATTTCATAAAGAACTATTGTAAAATGTGTTTAAAAATTCAATTCAATAAATAGAATGAGCTGCTGTTGGAGTGATGAAATGCTGTGGGTGCAAGCTTCAGTCATCTGCAAAGTATAGTTAATCCTTTCAGCCACGCACCCTGGAATACAGTGGTGTCAAACCCATAATTTATTTCCTTCTCCCACCCCAACTAATGGGATTGTTTAAAGACAGACTTTATACCTATGGACAGTGTATGTTCCGGTAAAATAACCAGTAATTCCTAAGGGGCTTCATTTAGTTTGGCCTCTAATGATGCTATCACAATGAAAGACAAAATACAAATAAACTCTGATCTTAGATTTCCGAGTGATGTCAGGCCACAGTGAACTGAACGCTATGCTTAGCACCTCCAAAACAGCACACCAACAGTTCCTCTTTCCTTCCACCTCCTCAAAACAAGGTCAAGAAAAGTAACACGCTCAGTGGCTGCTGTCCTTTCCTATGCTCTCTCCATACCAGGATTCCTTCCTTTAGAGGTGTTTTCAGAGCAGTTTCTGCTGGGGAACCATGGAGACAGGGCCCCAAGGAAGCCACACAACCTGGACCACGAGGGTGCGTACAGAAGCTGAAACGCACACACTCCTTGGCTCGAGGGAAACCTCTCTCTAAAAATGTCCTTTCCTGTGGACTTGCTGCTTTTCCTCTCCTGATCTTTTTTTCTTTCTTTATGCAATAACGAGAAGGAAAGCATATGTAATGACATTTTTACTGTAAAAGTGGCCCATTTTCCACCTTTGATGGACACCATTAGATAGCCTTAGATAATCATAGATAATAATCACTAATCTTAATAAGGTTATGCAGTAATTGAAGTGACAGACAGACTGATCAATACTAAGGTTCTTTCCTGACCCAAATACTGACATTTGTCATACTTACACCCTCAGTGACATATCAGTTACTTTTCTGTTATTACTCTCAAGTAAATAAACCCCATGAAAGTCAAACTGCAATTTTGAAATGTATATAAACTTAACTCTCAGAAAGTGTTAACAGCACTGAAGAAATCAGACTGTTTACAGATGCATTTAAATTGAAGACAATTATTCCATGTTTTAAATGAAACAGGAAGCAAACTTTTCTCTGAAAGAAATATGCCATTTGGAGCATGAGCTTGATGCACTCTAACTTATGCGCACTGACTTCACGCTTTTAACTGATCAGCCTTTCCAGGGGTGTGATTTTATGTTACACTTAATCTGACCTCATTGCAGGCTACTGCTGAAAGGGAAGGTCCTGTTCCCTCATCCTCCTCCTTGCTCTAGCAGTGAGTAGCTGCATGAGTGAGATCATCTCCCTGATCTGACCAAATATAAGGTTATTTTTGGTGGGTTAGCAATTCTGACCATTCAATGAGTTGATCCAAAGGATCCAAATCATCCTGTGGCCCCTCATTTGCTTCATGTCATACAAAGGAGACACAAAGCTGGAAAGGAGGGAGAAAAGCCTGATCCTTCCCTTTCAGCAGCAGCCTGCAGTTGAACAGGTGAAGGATACGTGAAACTGCTTCCTAAGACCTTATTTACCTGGCAGTTTAAATCATCACAGTTCCTATTATCTCCCTCACAACTACACCTTCCTGCTGCTCTTGCTTATCAGACTCTCCTCTGAGCTTATCCTATACACCAAGTTGATGGAAAATTAACCCAAGAGAAAAGTCTCCCCTTCCCCTTTCACAGCCTTTTCTGGGCTGGGCCAAAGCTTAGAGAAATCTTGGTATGAAATTAAAGACAGAAAAACTACAGAGTCATCACAAAGACTAAAATATTTTAAACATCTTACCACTGAAACAGGTTCCATGGCTTCTTGCTTGATAGGGACTGGGTCAAACATTAGCATCTTTTTTATTCCCCTGTTCTGACACCTCTGATGTCCTGGCCTGCACGGAAAAGACAAGGTGTTAGAAAGCTGCAGGAAACCCCCTAATCAATTTCCTGAACTGTAAAGAACTGACCGTTTTGTCAGATTAAAGTGAGTATTTATCCATCTCTAACATAGCTTCTTAAATATTTGACTTGGCCTCATTTAAGTATTTCATTTATTGTAAGTTTATTCTTTTCCAATTGCTACTGAAACAAAGGGGCATTTGCTCACTTTAATGAGAATTAATTTGAAATTTTACTGTGCATGTCAGCACACCAAGATCACAGAATTGTCACTTTCATTAGCTGTCATTAGTGTATATCCACATCAGTTTAGACTATGGATTTCTCATCAGCATTAGAACTCCAGAATAGTCTCCTTTAGCTAATAATATAGTGAACTCATTCTGGAGAGAATATGTCTTGTCCTGATAGGAAAGTTGAAACTTTTAGATACAGTGACATTGAAATCAATGCAAAAGAAAGATTAAAATCCAGGACTAATTTGGACAGGTACATTCAACATGCTGCAATAACTTAACGCAAAAAATACATCAGTTACATCCCCAAGATAACAGATTTAGTGACAATTCGACAATTTGTGCTAATTGCGCAAAAGAAAAGCACTTCAAAAAGTCCGATTGTATGCTGTGCAGCTTCAGTTGTTTTTTTTCTACAGAGTGCTCAACCTTACTTGTCCAATTCTAGCTTATCTCAAACTGCCTGAAATAAACGTATCTAGCATAAACCATGTCATAACTTAACCATCATACTGCACATTTACCATGGTCAACTTGGAAAGATGCTGTGAAGGAACGGAGGAGACACTCCTTTTGGGGTAAGCCATAAGGGTACGGAGTAAAAACCAAGAAAAGCAAAGGAAAGTTGCGCTCAATGACATTTAGATGTTGGCAAGCTTTTATAAAACACTTGAGGTTATACATTGTATCACAGATGTTAAAGGAGCAAGCTCTGATCATTCACAGTACAGCCCTGCCTGGAAGTGGTATGACCTCTATTAAGATGCAAAGATGAAAAAAAAAAAGACACAAATTCAATTTTGACCAGTAGATGGCACTGCAAAGAAACGAACAGAGCCAGACTACACCGTCCAAACAACTTCACCCTATCGAAGTAGGCTAAAGGCTCAACAACAGATTTGTAGTTGGCACTGGCAAATCCTCCCAGAAACGGAAAATTTTAAGATGTACCTGCTCAAATTAAAATTTTCTAATAAGCCTACACTAACGAACAATCTCACAATTAACTATGACGTGCGTTTATAGATAAAAGTTTGTTAAGAGCTTGCAGAGAAAGATGGCATGAGTTGTTACAAGTCTATCACTAATTATTCAGGTATATGAATAAAGTTTAAAGACTTATGGAAATATACTACAACAGTGTACATTTTGAATAATAGAAACAAACAAGTATCAAAAGTAAATCAAAGTATCTTAATTCTTTTACAGAAGTCAAAGGCCTGACAAAAACAAATAGCAAAAAAGTGAGGCAAACAGAGCAGCTCGATGCAATTTCCAGTTTAAACTTAACATGTTTTATTTTAGAAGCAGCTGTGCAAGATGGCACTATTTGCTAAAAGTTGTGAGAATTTTAAAAATACTTTAATTATGTCTGTGAGGTTATTAACTATACTATTTTTTGAATGGTTATCTTTTCTAGGTTTTTAACATTTCACATAGCTAGAACTAACATTTCAGAAGACTGTCTTCCCAGAAACATATCCACATACCTATGCATCACTCACACACATTCCCACACACACATATGCATCATGAAAAAAAGTTATACTTTTAGACAAAATATATTTACAGTAAAATGCAGCATCTCAGACCTCATACATAAGAATTTGGAACTACTTGCTTTCAGGTGTCCAGAAACTATCAATTTTTAGTTTATATGTGCATAGATAAAGTGACACCCTAATTTGTACTTTAGCAAAGAAAGGAAGGAAGTAGAATAAAGAAAGAGAGCAACAGAAAGAGGGAGGAAGAGAAGGAAGCGAAGAAAGAATGTGAAGAAAGAAGGAAAGATGAAAAGAAAGAAAGGGG